TTCCCTTCCCTGGACATGCTCCAGCCCCTCATTACTTGCTCTGTGCAGTTGGCTGTGATTTCCTTTTGCTGTGGATGTTTGTCTTGGGAATTCATTGTTGGCTGAGCCAGGTCTTGCCTGCCATGAAATCCCTTGTCCTAGTCAGAATGGAGCTGTGCCATGTCCCTGGGTGGTTCAGGTGTGGCTGTGGTGTCCACACAGCTGCTCCGTGGTGAAGCAGGGCTAGTGCTGCTCTGCTCATGTGGGAACACGTAGGGAGTGGAAGCTTTCCTGGAAATCCTCTCCAAAGGCTTTTTTCCAAAAGTTCTGCACAAACTCCTCTATTAACTTGGCCCAGGAGTGCCCACCTGCCTCTGGAAGTGTCTTGCAGACACTCTTGGCTGTCTCCTCAGAGGGGCTGAAGAGGGGATGCTTCCCAAAGTGAAAGCTGACGGAGCCTGGTGGTCTCCGGTGCCGTGCCTGCCTCCATCCATCACATCTCCGTGATGACACGAGTCTTTTGTTGGCTCTTTCCAACCTCGGCATTTCCTGCCAACATCCAAACAGTGCTGCTGGACCTGGAGCAGCGAGGGCTGCACAGAGGGAATGTCCTGTGGGTGGAATATCTGCTGGAGAGCTGCCATGAGCAGAGCATCCTCGGAACCACAGCGCGGTCAAACTTGCCGTGACGCTACACGGGAGCAGTTACAGGAACAACTTGTTGCTCAGAGATGAGACATTATCAAACACATGGGGCTTTCCTGAAGACGTCCCGGTGGCTGCCCTGGAGAGGAGGAAGTAGACCCCATCTCCAGGAGGGCCGACCACCTCGCTGGGATACCAGGAGGATAAAACTGTCAGTGCCTCCCCCAAAGCCATGCTGCTCCTTCTATCCCAGTTAACAGCTCTTCCTAACCAGGATGGTGCTAGGTAGGGATCAGCTTCTGGGAGGCATAAAGGTGCTGTCAGCAGAGTGGGGTAGCACCAGGAGAAGTGGCTCTGGTTGCCCTCCGAGCTTCCAGGACTCAAAAAGGAGGTATCCATACAGGCACTGGCATCTCTATGGAAGTGGCAGCGAGTTCCAGCTAACAGAAGAAGAAACCACTCCATGCAGGGCCTGAGGGAACAGCTGGAGCTGTGTCAGGGCAGGGTCAGGTTGGATCTCAGGAAAAGGTTCTTCCCCCAGAGGGTGGTTGGGCACTGCCCAGGCTCCCCAGGGTGGTGGGCACAGCCCCAAGGCTGCCAGAGCTCCAGGAGGGTTTGGACAACCCTCTCAGGCACAAGGTGGGATTGTTGGGGCTGTACAGGGCCAGGATTTGGACTGGATGATCCTTGTAGGTCACCTCCAGCTCAGGACATTCCATGATTCTATGATTCCATGATTCCATTACGGCAGACACCTCATCAGTGATGGTGACAAACAGGGAGAGCTGTGGAGCTGTGGCTGCTCCCGGCAGCAAGGGCAGGTCACCACTATCACTTCAAATTTCCTTTGTGTGACTCACAGCCCAACAGCAATCCCATGCCACATCCAGGGAATGTTTGGTTCAGTAGCCAAGAAGCTCAGGGGTTCCAACACTTCCTTCTGAAGCTCTTGTGGGAATCACAAGTGAGCTGTGAGACTGCATGGAGCAATCACGGGTCACAGCAACCGTTCTGGTCAGAAATGAGAGCTTTTCTGAAAGGAGAAAATACATACAAGGGTCATGTGCAATAAATTGCTTTCCTGGGCCTCCACAAAGCAATTAAACAAGTGATAACGGGGTCATTATATAAAACACTGATACAGAGCTGGAAAGGGAATGTGTGGCTGCCACGTAGCGCAGACCTGACTAAAGGTACTCCAGATATGATCCCAAGTGTGCAAAGAGCTTTTTGCTCTCTTGCTCCCACAGACCAAAGAAGTGACTACAACCCACCACCAGGAATTAGGGGTGAGGTGGGACTTCATCCATCCCTGCTCTGGAACACTGAAAGATTGGATAGATTGAAAGATCCGGGAATATGGAAAGATCCAGGGCTGTGAGCGGGACATGGATGTGCCATGGATTGTAGGTGATCCTGACGAGGCCACTTTGTCCCAGACCTCAGGGCTTCTCCTGTTCCTCTCTCCATGTCCTTCTCAAATTGATACACATTATTTAACCTCTCTCCTTTTAAAAGACCAGGGAGGAGGTTTGCCTGAGATGCTTATTGGTGCTACTTGCAGTATGAAACTTGGGAATAAAATTGATTTTATTTAAATAACCTGAATGAAACAAACGTTTCTGCATGGGTCAGTCCCAGCAGAGTGTCAGAGCAGACAGTGTACAGTTAAACTGACTGACCTGTGCTTTTGCCAGCAGGATGAGCACAAAAATCTCTCCATGGCATCTAGAAAAGATTCCTTAATCTCCCCAACCTGTCTCAGGGACAGGCTTCACTGCCAACAGGGCAGCAAAGCACGGCTGGGGTTGGGATTGCACATCTGGGGTTGGGATTGCACAGCTGAGTGGTTGAAAACATGCTCAGGTGTTTCCATATTCCACTGGAACTGAAAACAGCCTGGGATTTGGAGAAGTATTGCAATGCCATGGACATTGGCGTCCCTCGGATCCTGCAGCTGCCCTCACCGAGACACGGGCAGGCACCCAGGTCCTGAGTCTCAGAGGCACCTCATGCCAGCTGGGATGTGGACAGCTGCGTACAGAAAAGCCAGGAATTCCCAAAAATTGCTCCATCTGCCTCCAAGTGTGCGTATCCAGCTCTAAAATCTCACGCACCCCCTGTGCTCTGGCCCCCAGCCCGGGGTCCCGGCTGTCCATGGGTGTGACAGCAGCCCGGTGCTGAGAGAGGAGGGAAATGCAGTGGGATGATCTGCCTAACCCACTTATCCACATTTTCCCTGAAAAGTGCATGCCCATTGATCCCAATAAACACATTGCTCGGCCCTTCTCTTTTCCAGGCGTGTGGCAATCAGGAGGGAAGGGAGCTCAGTGCCAACCCATCTCCTCTCTCCACACAGGACCACAAACAAGGGTTCACTTCCAGCATGTTTCATAGAATTATGGAATCGCTAAGGCTGGAAAAGCTCTCCAAGATCCTTCAGTCCAACTGTCAACCCTGCACTGCCATGTTCCCCACTGGCTCATACCAGGAATACTGTGGCAGCAGGACCAGGGCAGTGATTGCCCCTCTGCCCTGGGCACGGCTGAGACCCCTCCAGGGCTGTGTCCAGTTCTGGGCCCCTCAGTTCAGGAAGGACATGGAGGGGCTGGAGCGTGTGCAGGGAAGGGAACGGAGCTGGGAAGGGGCTGGAGCAGCAGGAGGGGCTGAGGGAGCTGGGGGGGCTCAGCCTGGAGAAAAGGAGGCTCAGGGGGGACCTTCTGGCTCTGCAAGTCCCTGACAGGAGGAGGGAGCCAGGGGAGGTTGGGCTCTACTCCCAGGGAACAAGGGACAGGAGGAGAGGGAACGGCCTCAGGCTGTGCCAGGGGAGGCTCAGGTTGGATATTGGGGAAAATTTCTTCACTGCAAAAGCTGTTAAGCATTGTCAGGGGCTGCCCAGGGAGGTGGTGGAGTCCCCAGCCCTGGAGGTGTCCAAGGAACAACTAGTTGTGGCACTGAGTGCTCTGGGCTGGGGGACAAGCTGGGGACTGGGCACAGGCTGGACTTGATGATCTTGGGCGGCTTTTCCAACCTCAGTGGTTCTGGGATTCTGTGATTATGTAAACCATGTCCCCAAGTGCCACATCCACACTCCTGATCCCTTCCATTGGCACTGGTGCACCCAAACACCAACACAATCAACCAACCACTCACCAGCCCCCATCCCACAGTTGTTCCTGTTGCTGGATAAGGTGCAAACACACAGGAAAACATTGGGAAACACTGCATTAATGCCTTTTTTTTTTGGACTGTCTTTGCTAACCACACCACTTCTCCAGGCCTTTTTATTCCAGCTCTCCCATTCAATCACTGAAGCTGCTGTTACACCCCTAATAATACAAACTGTGTCATAAGGTGGTGTAGAAATCCAGCAGTCCAGGATTGGATTCCTGAAGGACTTTGGGTCTGTAAGAACGAGTCCTGAGCTGCTTGACTTCTGACTTTGGTTCAAAGGTGAGCCTTGGTTTTCTTGTTGCCCCACAGGATAAGAGCAGTAAGAAACTGTTGCGCTCTATTAGTCATTCCTGAGAAAGTAATTATCTCTTACTTGTACAAAACATATTTTTCAAGGGCTGAACTATCACCCTTTGGAATGTTTAGGAGTTGAGTGAGGAGAACCCGGTGAGAAATAGTTATTATAGAAAATGTGGATATATTTTATTTATGCACACTTCATTCATATCTAGATATAGGGATACACTTTATCCACATATAGATGTAGGGATACACTTCATACATATATAGATACATAGGGAGATATAAGGATGTATGTGTAAAGTCAGATATAAATTTACACACTCATGTGTGTTATTCCAAGGGGGAATGGCTTTGCATTGAAAAAGAGTAGGTTCAGATGGGATATTAGGAAAAAATCCTTCCCTGGGAGGGTGGGGAAGCCCTGGCACAGGTTGCCCAGAGAAGCTGTGGCTGCCCCATCCCTGGAAGTGTCCAAGGCCAGGTTGGATGGGGCTTGGAGCAATCTAGGCTAGTGGAAGGTGTTGGAATGAGGTTGGAATGAGGTGATCTTTTAAGGTCCCTTCCAACCCAAACTGCTCCACGATGGCTCTATAATACAAATATACACCCGCAAAGACGCAGCTGTGTGCGTACAAACCACACTCTGAACAAGACATAATTAAACGACTAATCAGCTTTACACGTAAATATGAATAAATGACTCAAACTGCGCCTGTTGCGCGGCCGGGCCGGACCAGGCCCGAGCGGGGCCCGTGGGGGCCGTGCCGGGCCGGGAGGAGGCGGCGGCTCCATCCCGGGAGGAGGCGGCGGCTCCATCCCGGGAGGAGGCGGCGGCTCCATCCCGGGAGGAGGCGGCGGCTCCATCCCGGGAGGAGGCGGCGGCTCCATCCCGGGAGGAGGCGGCGGCTCCATCCCGGGAGGAGGCGGCGGCTCCATCCCCGGCGCTCCGGAGCCCGCCCCGGCCGGGCGGAGCCTGAGGGCGCCGGTGCCGCCCCTGGAAGCCGGCCTGTCCCGGCCCGGCATGAGGCTGAGCCGGGCGGCCGTGCTCCGGCAGGCCAAGGCCGCCGCGCTCGACGGCGTCCGCCGCCTCAACTGCTGGTGCGCCGGGGGACGGGGACGGGACGGGGAGAGAGGGATGGGGAGGGCACGGGGATGGGAAAGGGACAGGGATGAGGAGAGCACAGGGATGGGGAAGGGACAGGGCTGAGGAGAGCACAGGGATGGGGAAGGGACAGGGATGGGGAGAGCAGGGGGATGGGGAAGGGACAGGGATGAGGAGAGCACAGGGATGGGGAAGGGACAGGGATGGGGAAGGGACAGGGATGGGGAAGGGACAGGGATGGGGAGAGCACAGGGATGGGGAAGGGACAGGGATGGGGAAGGGACAGGGATGGGGAGAGCACAGGGATGGGGAAGGGACAGGGATGGGGAAGGGACAGGGACTGGGGGAGATGGGCAGGGATAGGGAAGGAGGACAAGGATGGAGGGGGGACAGGCAGAGATGGGGAAGGGAGACAGGGATTTGGGGGACAGGCAGGGATGGAGAAGGAGGACAAGGATAGAGGAGGGACAGGGATTGAGGGGACAGGCAGGGATGGGGAGAGGGGACAAGGCAGGGATGGGGAGAGGGGACAAGGATGGAGGGGAGACAGGCAGGGATGGGGAAGGAGAACAGGCCTGGGTGAGGTTGAGGGGACAGTGATGGAGGGGACACAGGGATGGGAAAGAGGGGACAGGCAGGGATGGGTGAGGGGACAGACAGGGATGGGGAGGGCACAAGCAGGGATGGGGAAGGAGGACAAGGATGGAGAGGGAACAGGCAGGGATGGGGAAGGAGGACAAGGATGGAGAGGGAACAGGCAGGGATGGGGAAGGAGGACAAGGATGGAGAGGGAACAGGCAGGGATGGGGAGGGGAGACAGGGACTGAGGGGGGACAGGCAGGGATGGGGAAGGAGGACAGGCCTGGGTGAGGCTGAGGGGACAATGATCAAGGGGGACAGGGATGGGGAAGAGGGACAGACAGGGATGGGGGGGGACAGAGATAGAAAGGGTCAGGCAAGGCTAGGGAAGGGGGACAGACAGGACTGGGCAGGGGGGGAAAGAATGGAGGAGGGACAGGCAGGGATGATGTAGAGGGTCAGGGAGGGATGGGGAGGGGGAGCAGACAGGGGTGGGTGAGGGAGGACAGCAGTGATGGGGAAGGGGAACAGGGATGGAGGGGGGTCAGGGAGGGATGGGGAAGTGGGACAGACAGGGATGAGGAGGGGGACAGGGGTGGGTGAGGGCAGACAGGCAGGGATGGGGAAAAGGGGCAGGGATGGCACTAGGGAACAGGGAGAGATGGGGAGTGGGGACAGGAAGAGATGAAGAAGGGGGATAGGGAGAGATGTGAGAGAGGCAGGGATGGGTGAGGGTGATGAGGGATGGTGAGTGGGGACAGGCAGGGATGGGTGAGGGGGGCAGGCAGGGATTGGTAAGCAGGAACAGCAGGCATGAGGAGTGGGGACAGGGAGGGATGGGAAAGGGGGAGAGCCAGGAATGGGGACAGGGCACAGGGATGGTCCTAGGAGTCAGGCAGGAATGTCAGGCTGGAGGGACAGGCAGGGATGGGGCTGGGGAGGCACAGCCAGGCCCGTGACAGACTCTGCTGCAGCAGTTTGGTGGGGCCGGGCGGGGGCTCAGGCTGTGCACGGGGTGTGGGGGGAGCAGGGGGTGGCTCACGCTGCCATGTCCCCCTGACCCCCCTCTCCTCCCGCAGGGGCAGCCACCTGACAGATGTAAGTCCCAGAGGAGCCAGCGAGGAGCCCCAGCCTGTGGAGTCTGGGCCAGCAGCCGGAGTGGGGATGGATGCAGGGGGTGGGGGTGGCAGCGTTCGGGCCTGGGATTGGGCTGGCCCCGTGCCAGTGAGCTGCAGGCCTTTTCAGGGTTGATCAGCAGCTCACACCATAAAAAAAATAACAAACCAAAAGGGACTGCTGATGTTTCCAAATTGGAAAATTTCTCTCTGAGGCCTTGCGTGAGCCCCGGACAGCAGGACCCTGAGTTCTACCTCGTCTGTTTGGGACTTTGGATGAGGTTCTGTTGGTAGGAGAGGCCTGGCAGAGGTGAGAGGGGCCTTTGCTGCCTGTGGAGGCTGCAGAGTTGCTGGAGCAGAAGAACAGCGTGATGCTGGTTGGAGTCTGTGCTTCCACTCCTGGGGAGAGAGGCCGGAGGAGCTGCTGACTCTGCACTCACTGTGGCAGCAAATCTCTCTGGTGGTGTTAAACTCGGGTTAGACTGAAGCAAACCTAAATGCCTGATTGTGCTTCTTGTGATTTCAGTTGGATTTATTGTGATTTCAGTTGGGTTTATTGATATTTTTTCCCACCTGTGCCAACGTGCTGTTTCTGTCTCTCCCTGCCCAGATCTCGATATGCCGGGATTTGCCCAACATCGAGGTGATCACGTTCAGGTGAATGCCAGGCTGCCAGCTTTGGAGAGGGCAGGGAAATCACCTTTTTCCTGGAGCTTATTTTCTTCCCACCTCGCTGTGGTTGTGTGTCTGAGCTGCCTGGCTCTTCGTGCCCCATTTCTCATGCAGCAGGGATGTAGAAATGATTATTACTCACTAGCTCCTCTGCACCTTCCCCTTTGCTTCTCAAGAAAATAACCCCTGTTTCAACAAGTGTTAAAACTCCATTGTTGAAGTCCCATTCCATAGTTTGGATGGGGATCATCATGGCCTCTGTGTGTGGCCTGTTTGCAGGGTGCTTGTTGAAATGCTTCATGGATCTCTCAGAGCTTTTCCTTTCCATAATACACCCAACTTTTCACCCATCCTGGGAATCCCATGGAGCCAATGCTCTGCGAAGTGGAGCTTGGGAATCTTATATGGCTTCTCCTTTGGTGGGTCTGAGGAAGTGCCACAGGAAAGGGGGCAGGTCTGGGGGAAGCAGAGGCTCTTTGCCATCCTCAGCAGAGGAGCGCCGGCTGTTTTAATTCTGCCCTCTGTTCACAGAGATAAAATGCCACAAGCCAC